GGTTTAGGGTTTGTGTTGCAGATGCGGACCCTCCTGCTTGCTTCCGACTCTTCGGTTTGCTTTTCCATGCCGACCTCCTCACTTGGTGGGAGCTGCAGCGCGAAGTTGGTGAGGAAGAAATCCTAGGGTTTAGGGTTTATAGTTTAGGGTTTACCGTTTGGAATGTGCCGTAGAAACAGCTATGCACGCCTTCCCAGGTGCAAGAGATCAGCGTTTAGGGTTTAGGGTTTAGGGTTTAGTATCTGAAATCCGATGCTGGTGTGCTGTCTGCAGCTGTACGAATGATGCGTATCGGCGCTACTATCACGGTGAGGACCTAGGGTTTAAGGTTTAGAGTTTTGGGTTTAAGGTTTAGTGTGTAGGGTTTACGGTTTACACTGAGGGCTACAGTTTAGGCTTATGCGGCTGCCTATACACTTTGACGAAGACCATTGGCAACGTGTTGTCTGTTTTCACTGGCCAGCTTCAGCAAGACGACATATATTCAGTGGTTTAGGGCTTTGAATTAGGGTTTAGGGTTTAGGGTTTAGGGTTTGGGGTTTGTGACTGCAGGCTGCTGAGAAGTTCACAGAGCTGCAGATGTGGGAGGAGGCTGCCGATTGCCTTGTTGCCGCTGACCGGCGAGCGGATGCTAGAGCCCTTGTAAACCTTAAACCCTCAACCCTAAACCCTAGACCTTCACCTCAGATTCGTAGCAGTCTAGGAGGAGCAGCGCTATGAACGTTCAGCCTCAGCCTGTTACCCGTTTTTGCAACCCCTTAGTTCATCGGTGTATTGGGATCAAGGGTTTAGCGTGTAGCGTTTAGGGTTTAGGGTTTGTGTTCTTCAGCTGGAGGAGCAGATCGCAGCCCGGCCAACTCCTCACCTTCTTTGCACGCTGGCGGATTTAGAAGTCCCGGAAAACGCCAAGAGAGCGGAAGACCTGTACAAGGAAGCATGGTAAGCAGTTAGGCATTGAAGGGTTTAGGGTTTGGTGTCTATGGTTTCCTGCCTAGGTTTCGAACTGCGCTGGCAAGGACTGCGTAGATGGCGAAGATTATGTCGGGGTTTCAGGGTTTTGCGTGAAGGGTTTAGGATATTTGGATAGTGGTTTAGGGTTTCGAACTGGGAGTTTAGGACTTTGAAGGTCTAGTGTACACCGTTTACGGTTTAGTGTCGAAGGTTTGGGGTTTAGTGTTCGGGTTTGAGCTTCACCTGCTGGGGATCCATGTTGGTCCCTCTGTGTTTATCTTGAATTTCGGGGAATATGTCTTTTGACGTTGAGGCTATTGAGTTGTATTCGTTTATTTGCTGCATTTCAGTGTTCGAGCGTTATATTTCATCCTCCATGTCCTGCGTTTCTATGTTTATGCACTGTATTTAAGTCTTTGTGTGTTGTATTTCAGTGTGTATGTGCCGTGTTCCAGTGTTTAGGTGTCGTATTTCAGTGTTTCTGAGTTGTTTCCGTCGTTTATGCGTTGTATGTCGGCGCTTAGATGTTGTATTTCAGTGTTTTGGTGCTGTATTTCAGTGCTTCGCCGTTGTATTTCAGTGTTTCGGTGTTGTACTGTAGTGTTGACGTGGGCGCCGTATTTCAGTGTTTCGCTGTTGATTTTCAGTGTTTGTGTGTTGAATTTCATCGTTGAGGTGTTGTAATTTGGTGTTTAGGTGTTGCGTGGCGGTGCTTAGATTTCGCGTTTCAGTGTTTAGGGGTTTCATTTCAGTGTTTAAGTGCTGCATTTCAGTGTTTAGTTGCTGTACTTCAGTGTTGATGTGTTGTACTGCAGTGTTGATGTGTTGTATTTCAGTGTTCAGGTGTTGTATTTNTGTACTTCAGTGTTGATGTGTTGTACTGCAGTGTTGATGTGTTGTATTTCAGTGTTCAGGTGTTGTATTTCTTTTCCAATTTTGTAATGTGCGGGTTAAATTTGTATCAGGTCGCTTTCGGGGTGCCGTTACGCGCGGGCACAGCGGGCACTGGGGCGTTTGCTGCTGTCCCAGGGGAAGCTGGAGGAAGCAGCAGCAGCTCTGCGCATTGCAGCAAAAACAGCAACTCTGCACAGTCCCACTTGGTTTACCTTGGGCTGCTGCTGCCTGCAGCTACAGCTCCTTGATGAAGCCCGAAATGCCTTTGCTCGCGCCCTTGCCATCGACCCTGAAGACGGAGATGCCTGGGCAAACCTCGCTGCAGTGCACTGCAAGGTCAAACCCTAAGCCCTAAATCCTAAGCCCTAAACCCTAGGCGATAGCAACCATACAAACCATCTATGACCACTATCACGTCGACACAAATGCCCATTCTGCATATCTTTCCGGAGAAACAAATAACGCACCCTAAACACTAAACCCTAGACCCTAAGCCACGATATCTTCTGGCTGTTTGCGTTGATTGGATTGCAGCGAGACGCATGGCAAGCAGCGCAGCACTGCATCCTGGAGGCTGCGAAGTACCGACGAGAGAACTGGAGGGTTTGGGAGACTTTTATCTCCATCTCTGTCCGCCTAAGAGACGTGCAGGCCATCTCCCGCGGTCTTAGAACCCTCGTACAGATCAATGCTGTCAGTCACACCCTAAATCGTANCAGCGAGAGCATCCAGGCCTAATGGTCTAGGGTTTCGGGTCCAGGGTTTAGCGTTTAGGACTCAGGGTTCAGGGTTTAGGGTTTCGAGAGAGCTTTGTGAGGCACAAAATGCCTATTCTGGGATCCAAGGTTGCGCATGGTTCCCAGGGTGTGCTTGGGGTTCTGGGGTGTAGGGGCTGGTAAACCCTAAACCATAAACCCTAGACCCTATCGTCGGCTGATCTCGAAGCCCCAAAGACTAAATACTGTCTGCCTGCGTTCATGCATCCATCCGGAGCGAACCTACAAGCTGTGGCTTCTAAGGCGTAAGTGTTCTCCTGTTGACAGGTTACTTACTTGTATTTGTGTGGCTTTCTGCTTCAGAAGGATCGCATAGACCCTTGGATTTATACATTTTTAGAAGAGTTGGTGCTGTTTGAGTTGAGGCGGGCGGCCGCATCTACCCCTGAACAAGATCAAGCCCAGACGCCCATCGCGGGTGTCCTGCGTCACACCCTCAGTTGTTTGGAATTCTTAACCAAGCACATCTCCGACAATGCAGAGCTGTTTAGGGTGTATGGTGTACTCCTACTGAAGGCCAACAAACCTGCTGAAAGCGTATACAACTGGCTCAAAGAATTCCGCTGTCTGGAGGTGCCGTCACAAACCCTAAACCCTAAACCCTAAACCCTTATCCACCGAGACCAAACCATAAACTTGCGCGCACACACTGCTACTGAACTGTTTGCTGTGTCAGCAGCGAAACGTTGCGGGAGTTTACGGTTTAGGGTTTAGAGTTCAGTCTTTAGGGTTTGTTTCCAGGCCGATGTGACCCGCGGCAACTTGACTGCCGACCGTGTGTTAGAATTAATAGACAAACAAGTCTCCTCTCTAGAACGCGCGCTGTCTNCAACTTGACTGCCGACCGTGTGTTAGAATTAATAGACAAACAAGTCTCCTCTCTAGAACGCGCGCTGTCTTTGTTGGAGAAATTTAGCCCCAAGAGCAAACGACGGTGCGTAACTATCACAGCCCTAGCACAGCGTTGTCCTTTCCTTTCGGTTCGCTATTTTCCAGGGTCTGGAGTTGGGGATACGAGGCTCAGCCGTCGAGTTCGAGGGTCTGTTTGCAGTTGTTGGTTTAGGGTTTAGGGATTAGTGTTTTTGTCGCCTGCCTGGCCTTTGCAGGAACGACCTGCTGCACCAAGTGAAGACTACCGTGGAAACCTATTCGCAGCGCATACTGCCGGAAGCAACAGAAGCTAAGAAGCGCGTATGCTGAACTCTATGCTCTAAACACTAAGCCCGCACCTACAGAGAGCATCCCTCCAGGATTTACTGATCATTCTGGTGTCAGCGCTGTACTAGCAATTGCTTTTGTGAGTCTCAGCTATGATGTTTAAGTTTTAGGATCTAGGGCGTTGGGTTTATAGTCTGGGGTTTNGCTTTTGTGAGTCTCAGCTATGATGTTTAAGTTTTAGGATCTAGGGCGTTGGGTTTATAGTCTGGGGTTTAGAGGTTTGGGTGTGCGAGTTGCTGCAGTTGGCGGCGCTGATTGTCCGAATTGAGGCGGCGCAGCAGCAGAGTGCCGATCAGTGCGACGATGAAGATAAGCGCGAAGTGCCAGGGGATGAGAATTAGAGTCCAGGTGATGCGTCAGAACAACGTTATTTATGTACAAAGTGCAAAGGACTCTGCCGAGTGACACAGAGGCGCTAGTACCGCCCAAAGTAGCTTACGGAGCAAGGCACGGAGCAAGTGAGACTCAAAGAGTTTAGTTCATCAATAACCCAGTAACTCAGCAGAGCAAGATCGAAAGCAGAAGGAGAACCTTCGCTGGCGATCCGCTGGCGATCCGTTTCCTTTCGTATCGCCCTTCTTCTACCATCTTATCTGCGGTAGACATTACCTGTGTAGCAATTTTGAAGCCACGTTGTTATCTTGAAAACAACAGTATATCTACCGTAAAGGAAAGTGCTGTTGAGGCAGCAGTACAACGAACACTTTTTCAACTTTTTTGTACGATGCATTTTCTGCGGTCTATCATTTCAACAAATCAATGATCAGTGGCGTTGGCCCTCTCAAAGTGCGTTGTCGCACTCCTTCTGATTCTTAGGCATACCAAGGCTCATGCAAATTTATAAATTTCAACTCGTGTACGTCTCTTCTCACGTCGGCATGTTTAACTTTAGCCAAAACCCAATTATAACAACATGCGTTGCAGCCCTGTTCGTGTCATTGCGGAACTGAAATCGAAGCAAGGAAAGATATTATCTTTGAATTTGTGAACCACCACTCAATGNGTGTCATTGCGGAACTGAAATCGAAGCAAGGAAAGATATTATCTTTGAATTTGTGAACCACCACTCAATGTCTGGCAGTTTGGGGAGACACTTTGAAGAATTTCACCCGCCTTCTGTCTAAAGGATGATGACGAGCAACATTAGCAGGATGAAGAGTGCGCTCGATCCAGCAAAAAAAGAGTCCAGTACAAACACCTCAGCAACAGCAGTGAACTTTGCACCGTTACAACAGAACGAACTGCAAGCAGAAAGCGCGGGTTCTCGCCCTATTGTCTCGATTCCGCTTGAACTGTGGCAGAACGGGTGTCGCAGTTCTGCACATAAGCGAAATCGTTCAGCAGTGCACCGCGCATCGTTAATGCGATGAGCGACATAGTCCTGAGGACTTTGGCTTTCCGGTTTCTGGATAGCAGCTACTCACTGGAAGATAAACAATACAGGTTAGACAGGCAGACGTACCATATGTAAGCAGCAAAATCAGCTGCAAACGAGTTTTTCAGGTTGAAATACACCGGAAAAATAATATAAGCTCTATTTCAAACCAGATTTAGAGCAAAAGGNAGTTTTTCAGGTTGAAATACACCGGAAAAATAATATAAGCTCTATTTCAAACCAGATTTAGAGCAAAAGGTCAACTTCATCAAAAGAGCAGATGAAACAGGTGTCTCCTGCTTCACTTGTGTCAGGGCGGTATCATCTGCGGCTACTACAACAAAGCAACCGTGTTGGAGGTAGTCTGAGTTGAGGGCAGAAAAAGAAAAGGGGAATGGGAGGAAATCGGTAGGTGGAATAAGCACAGGTTGTGTTGCAGCTGTCAACTTGTGGCGCTATGAAAGGCCAAGTGAACGCACATTGGCTCGAACGAACAAATGCTCGGAGTCGGTGGTGCAAAGGGAATTAAAAGGAAAGCACACGCCAACCAACTAAACCTCCGTCCTCCGGAGCAGCTGTGATCAAATACACTTTACTTTCATTTGCGAAGCCTCAAGAAGTAAAGAGCTTCCACTTCTCTGAAGAAGTGCTGCGGTGTTCTGGGTTACCAGGTTCTCCGCGCCATTGAAATGCCTGTACCTTTTTGAAACAGAGCTTATCTTGGGTATTTAATGCTGTCAGAGTCGTTTGTTATTTGTTTTACAATTTAAAGCAGTGCTCAGGAGCCCAGAAAAAGGGCTCACAGCTGTACAAACAACGCAGTTCATCTTGCTCGTTATTTATCTGTAAAGGGTGGTGAAATGCATTGAATGTTTTGAAATGGAATTACAACAGAAACACAGACAAGGGAAGAATATGGCCGTCATGTAAAGGTTTTTCGATTACGGCCTTTTGCACGAGTTCCCTTTTCTCTTGCAGCAGTTCCCGCACCCTTTTCGCCTCTCCATCTTCAACTTCATCGAGGAGGTTTTTCACAGTTTCTTCATTCCAGTCTTCAGCGCAGGCTTTGACGACAATCGGGGCCCATAGCCTCTGATTTGAACGTACGAATTGTTGCGCTATAAAGCGCATCAATACCTCTGCGTTTGCAGGGGTTTTATCTGCAGGTGAAATGACTGGAGGAGCGTCCGCAAAGTTATGAAAGTTAACAGTTTCAAGAGCCATCCCATAAGCTTCTAAGACTGAATCATAGCGCATTGCGACATATCGCCCGTCTATAGCATATGTATCAAGTGCTTCTACCGTCATTGCAAGTTTCATTCCTAGAGAAGTTGGAACAGTTCCTGGGACTTCATAATCTTCCATTTCTTGTTGAATTCGAGCGGGAAACATTCTAAGGAACTCATCAAAAGTCATCTGATCACCCATTACTGCTCCCATATCAAACACGCCCTCTCCGGTGCCAAATGCTTCTGCATGGAGTTTAGCTCGTTCTACCTTGCTCTCGAGTTTAGCTAACCCGTGAAGTCTTAGTGCTGCGGAGTTGCAGAGAGAAGTCACNCCGTCCATCTGCCTCTGAAGAAGAGCCCAGGCCTCGGCAGGCTTCATCTGTTTCTCGTCGCTAGTGGTGGGCATGTGGTATTTTGCAAATGCGAGTTTCACTGGCTCGGGGGTTTCTTTCCACGTTTCTTCTAGCTTGTCTACACTATCCCTGAACTTCTCGCGATACGTCAACAAGGAATCAGAATCTAAAGGCAAGCTATCTAAGGCTGTTCGCCCTCCCCCCTTCAACGCTGACCAGCCCACAGCCACGAGCAGCAGAATCCACGCACCCAGCAGTGAAGAGGCCAGTAATATGGGCACTCCTTGTTTAGGAGTCTCTAAGGGCAAATCAAAAGAGAGCGATTCATCATCTTCATAGTCTTCACTTCCTTCTTGCTCTTCGCCATACTCTTCGAAACCACCATCGGCTTCAGCGCCCAGATTCTCTCCCGCTGCCGCTCCTGCTGCAGCTTCGCCTGCCAACAAGGCAGTTCCCGTTACGGGAAGACCAGCTGAAGGTTCCATCTTAACAAACACCTGTACTTATGTCGAAGGAAAGGGGAAAAGTGCACTGGGATGAACAGAGGTCAACGGTGGGGAGTTTCTGCATGAGTTTGGCTGTGCAGGCCCCCAAGTGAAAGCTCCAGGGTAAGCATAGAGAAGGCGTGCCTCCACTGGTTTCAAATTCTTTTTGCAACAAAGCGGACGGACCTGTCGAGCTGAAATCGCTGCTGGCTTCGAGTGGCCGCCTCACTCCGCTCCGCAACTGTCTCCGCAGACGGGCCCTTTTCGTGCCCCGTGAAGGGCAGGGAAGAATCAACTCCTGACAATCCTCGAAATCCTAAACAACCAAAAAAATATCCCCCTTATCGTTCAAGTCATCTGTTATTGCTACGGTTGACGGGTGCAGCGGCATCATCGTCTGCATGCTGTCGTTTCACGCCAACAAGCCCGATGCGGCNCTACGGTTGACGGGTGCAGCGGCATCATCGTCTGCATGCTGTCGTTTCACGCCAACAAGCCCGATGCGGCAAACGCGTTGGGGTGTATCTCCAGGCGATCCGCACGACGAAAGCTTTACCTGGGACAAAACACTAATTATGTTACATTATTTAATTGTTGTGCATAATTTCTGGGAAAGGGTGGGAAAGTTTGATACACATGGCATCTTGCAGGAAGAGGCAACATGGCCAAAGAGCCCCTACACAAGCGGTCAAACAGTGTTAGCATCTGTAACAAAAGAAACAGTCAACATTGTTTGTCACAAAATATACCAAATAAGAAAGTCTATCAAAATGCATCGGTGGATTGTATAAAGGCCCACTATAACCCGAGTCGGGTAACGTAACTAGAGGGCAAGCACTCCTGTAGTCGACTCGATACATTGTAAATCTTAGCCTAGACCCCGTAGGCATCTGTTCCTATTGTTTCGAATAAATCAGAGAGCAAGGTGAAAGCAGGCTCTCCGTTTAGTGTCGGTTTCCTCTGAATGCTGATTTTCCAGAACAAATCGACAGTTAAACGACACCATTGATAAAACCAGCAGAAACTACGCGCCATACGAGGTGCTCCGTGTAAGACCCCACGACATATGCTGTTTGGAGAAGAGCGAGAGAGAGGAGAATATGTAGTGGTCTGCTTGAAATTTGTACGTGTGTCTTTTCTTCGATACTGATGGTCGTATAAGGGCTTAGCAATTGTCTACAGTGTTAGTGTATGAAGCAAGGGGGCCTGGTTATGTTTGCATGTGGGGTTGCCTTGCAGCAGAAGTTGTAGTGAGACCTGCTGCAACTCATAGTCTGTCTAGTGTCAATATCAGCCCCTCGCCCCTCTAGCGCGCGCACGAGGGCTGAACACTGGGAGAGTAGGTCAGCTGCATTTCAGGGAATTTTCATCTAAAGTGTTTTGTCTGCTTTTCCGCGTACGAGGTCCCTTCGTTACGATCTAGGACTGTCGCTACATCCTGTACAAGCCATAAAGAGGCAGGTTCTTTCGAGCAAAAAGCATATATAAACGAGCCTCCTGCCTGCGGAGGGTCCATAGACGGTTCGAGAGGATCGGAAATGTTTGCGTGAAACATTATTTCGGTTAAACTCTACTTGAAATAAAGCGCCCCAACTGTTTATGTGGTGCGCTTGCACGCAATTCTGCTGCAAATAGCCAAGTAAAGCAGCGAAGGCGAATGCTGCAGTCTAGGTGTATAGACCCATCATGGGGTACATACATCAGTCCGTCTGTCTAGGGTTTTTACCTTCTTTCATAATTCAATCGCCTTCATAAAAAATAGAACAGCGGATTCCTTTTTCTTGCCGCACCATGCCGCCAAAGAACAAAGCGGCCCTCCGAGGGGGTAGCGCGACTCTTCTATCTAAAACGGATTCATTTCTTTGTTTTAAATTGAAATTAAAACGGATAAAGAGGAATCCACACACAGTACTTTCGGGCAGTAGAGGCTGCTCCTTCACCGTGCGTCTGGATTACCTCAGAATATTGGTTNACACACAGTACTTTCGGGCAGTAGAGGCTGCTCCTTCACCGTGCGTCTGGATTACCTCAGAATATTGGTTTTCTTCTTCTTGTCTTCAAATCGATATCTCGATTAAAGAAGAAATACCGAAAGAAGGAGCAAGGTATTTTCTACCTCGTTTTGTTCACTGCTTACAGTCAGCACTGTCATCACTTTCTGTTGGACTGAATCTTGAGTTCTGCGGCTCTGGTCATCGAGAATTTGTTCGATGATTTCAGAAGCATGCTTCTCATTCCAATTTCTTGCTAGATATTTAAAAACACGCGGATCCAGATAGCCGTCGCATGCTCGTTCATATCTGTACTTGAGAAATTTGAGAAAATCACTGGTGTGGAAGGGAGCATGGTCATCGATCGTTTGAAAGGATGCTGCAGTCTTCTCATCACCCGGCTTCATAGTGGCCAGGCGTAAGCCAAAGATACTTGCGAATGAATCAAAGTGCTCGCAGATGTACAAATCATCTTCGCTTTGAATATCCTCAATGCGAATGATATCTACCAGCTTCGCCGCTGTTTCCAACGAAATAACTGCTTCTTGTTTACCTCCCACAGCCCCTTCCTCATCTTCATTGTCTGAATATCCCTCATCTTCCGAGTCGCGGTCTTCTTCAGCAAAATCAACAATGCTGGCTAGGTATTCCCTCCTTGGCTGGGGAAGCATTTCAACGAACTCCCTAAATGTTACAGGCTTTGCATCCGATGTAGCCCCATAGTAAGGCCACTGTTCTCCAGCAGTGCTATCAATGAGTGGTATAGGTATTCCCTGTGACTCGGAAGTTTTCTCAAGTCTTCCGAGTGCNCAGCAGTGCTATCAATGAGTGGTATAGGTATTCCCTGTGACTCGGAAGTTTTCTCAAGTCTTCCGAGTGCACGCATTCGCTCCGATGCTGCCTCAAAAATGCTTATGAGGAGTTTACCCTGCTTTAGGTAGGCTTCTTTTTTTTCCTCGCTCTCTTCTTCACTGGGCCGAGATTTTAGAAATATATTCTTCTGCGCTTCCAGCATATCCCAAATGTTGTCTTCTTTCGTGTATACTCCTTCTTTTTCAATGGGTGTGAAATTATGCTTAAATGCATCTCGAACAGTGGGGGAAGACGCTTCCCACGCGGTCTGCAGATTTTCCACGCTGAATCCGAATTGTTCAATGCATTCATCTATCTTCGTTTTCTCTTTGGGCTTCTCAACGGGCGGTGGGGGAGGATGAGGAACTGTGCTCTTGCCGCTGGTGGTAATCAGGCTCGTGAGGGAAAGCAGCAAAGCCAGAGACAGTGCAAGAGAAAGGCCTGCAAATAGCGTTCGTTTCCCTTTGCTAGAGTCGTTGCGCTGTGGAGGAGGCTGAGAGTCGCTTGCAGCACCAGAGTTATTCTCTGTGGAGGCATTTCCCCCGTCGTCTTTCGNGGAGGAGGCTGAGAGTCGCTTGCAGCACCAGAGTTATTCTCTGTGGAGGCATTTCCCCCGTCGTCTTTCGGCATTTCCGCTGGGGGTACCGTGGTCTGGCTCTGCTCGTTGTATATCCAATAATGCGGATCCTTCAATGGGAATCCTGGTGACGTAAACCCGTCCGTTGGTGTCTGCAGATCGAGATCATAAGTTAGAGGCACTTGGTTCGTCCCCGTCGCTTCATTCCACTCCATCTCACTGGGGTGGAGAAACAGCGGCTGTGGCGGGGAAGGGATGCCTGTCTCGCTCAAGGACAGCCCCTTAAACCAAAAACAAAACTCCTATAAAAGGGATTCAAAACACCAAAATACAGGAAGCAACTCTACCACAGTAGTATGACGCCCAACATAGGCCGGCTACATAAGCAGGCAGGCCCCTCTGGGATGGTTCAGCGTAGCTGCCAAAGAAGCAGGAAGAAGTTTGAAGTGCCGGTCACAAAGCTAAACTCTGTCACTCCCAATTAACTTGTTTGATGCTTCAGTAAAAAATTCCAGTTTTCCTCTCAAAGACACGCCCAACACACTGTCGGCAGATCACGCCTGGCACGTGACTGCTGGTGTCCCGCGAGGTGCGATTTGCATGGGCTATCACTCTCCTCTTATTCACCAAAACCGCTTAAAAATGAATCAATTAGAAGATACCATAGCGATATAGTCACAAGAAAGGATTAATCAAAATGCTTAGCAGTGAGTGCTGCTAACCGGGCTCAATGTCTTGTTCTTGGCCTCCTGGGACAGCGACGAGAAATCTCTGTAGCAGCTCTATTATAGTGGGTGGCGTCATGGTCTTNCTTGGCCTCCTGGGACAGCGACGAGAAATCTCTGTAGCAGCTCTATTATAGTGGGTGGCGTCATGGTCTTGTTTTACTGGGGGATCGTGGCGTTTTTGAGTTTTAAAAATCATAGCCAGTGTAGCTTGCTTCAGCACTGCGCCGTGATCCTTGTGGAATTGGTACGTTTTTCTACCTGCGTGCAAGCTGGGAACGGAGGGCTAAGTAAGCGTTCAACGATTGTCTAGATTGCTAGCGCATGCAGGAAGGCGGGAGTCGCTGTTCATGCTTGTGATGCCTTGCCGCACTAGCTACCGCAAGGTGCGCTGTAGCACACACGTCAGGCCGCCTGTCGAATGTCCTGTAGCATTCTCTGTTCCAAGTTAGGACAGGAACCAACCCTTCGCCGTATTAGACTGCTTACAAACATATATATACGTGCAACAAGTGTCTGCAGCTATAATGCACACAGCAAAAATGCTTGGTTTGGCTCTTATGTGAAGCTGCCTTGCAGTATTAGTTGAAGAGTGTAACGCTAGTTCTCCGGCCTTTATCTGACCAGAGACGAGCCGCAATGAAGCCAAAGACTTAAAGCAAGAGTTTCCCAAAAGCAGCTGACCTCCTTCCGCGGTACCTAGGCATCCTGGGCGTTGAGCCCAGGGCCAGGGTGTCGCGGGGAGGAGGCAGTCAGAAATGGGGTTGCAGCGCACCCCGCTGCGGCTGGCAGAACAAGCCAGCCCCACGCGTGCACGAAAGGAAGCTTCAGGGAAGCTTCCTTTGCTGCATGCTTTGCCTCGTAACGAACTTGTATAACGTTTGCAGGCGCTTACGCTCAGCATGCCAAAGCCGTCGATAGGCTCCTGAGCTAACTCTGCGCTAACTCATGTTACACAGAGAGGTACGCTACGATTCATAGCAGGGCGCCTCCTCCTCCACAACAGCAGGCCCTGTGTCGCCGAGCCTAGAACGACTGGGAATGCGTGAGAGCAGTCAGCTGCTTTTAGGCAACTCTTAGCTTAAGCCTTCGGCCTTCTTTCAGTCCGCGACTGTCATCGAATAACCTCGAGGACTCTCGTTACACTTGGTAACACCGCACTGTTTATTGCAGGAGGCACGAGCAACGAACCGTGCTCCTCAGGAGTAACGGGACCTAGTTTGCAGTAGCGAATGAAAAACAAGAAAGAAAAAAACACTTGCGTTTCAGTTACTGCCTAAACACCTTACTAAAATCGAACAAAAACCTCAGCCCTTCCCTCTTGTGCAGTGGATATTGACCATGATCTGGCCTTGGGTGTGGAGGCGACCCAATTTCGTGAACATCATCGAGCAGAAACAAACTCGATTTCGATATCCCATCCGGTGAAAAACTTTAACGCGCGCGTGACGCGACGGTAGGCGCCGTGTGCGTAAGTAGAAATACGCGCATCAGCTACAGACTGTCCAAGTTACAGGCGTGAGCTGAGACAGGGTCAAGAGAGTCATGATAAAATTTCCCCAAGAGAAGCTGACATATCCCTCATATCCGGGCTTCTTGGGCAAAACGGAACACAGGCCTATCCTGGTGTGTATGGGAAACAGCTTGTCGTGAGTTGCAGCGCACCTTGCAACTCGTGCTGCAAGGCAAACTCTCGTGGAGGAATGCCAAGGTCCCCTGTTGCGGGCTACACGAACACTGTAGGCAATTGTTAAACGGTCTCTTAGCGTTCAGGAGCCAGCCTGTACGTAAGAAGAGAAACGCCTACCAGCTGAAGAGAAGCACTGCTACATCTGGGCAGAGCATGGGTAGTGAGAACTTTCCGACCTCTTCACGGGACTAAAGCGAGCAGCAATGAATCCAAAAACATGAGGTCAGAGCTTTCCCCAAGCAGATGATCTCCCTTCCCTGTCTCCAGGCATCCATGATGCTCTGCTCAGGGCCTGTGGTTGCCGGGAAAGACGCTGACCAACAGGAGTTGCAGTCCACCACACTGCAGCTGGTGTAGTACACTGCCGTAACACGCACCGCTGACACGGCCTATACCTAGCTACCATATAACACAACGGAGCTGGTCTGCTGCACTATAGTGAAGAAGTAACGTTGTCAATAGTTTTAGTGGGCGTATATTGAAAGGAAAATTGGTTAATTGAGATCCGAAACCTCTGACCGTACCCGATCACCCTCCCTCAAGGGTGGTCGTCCGCCAGACCCTAGAACCGTAAAGGGGGGTCTGCGTGCGGGTCGCGGCGTCCTTGCCGTCCCTCTTACTTACGGCTTAGCCTCTGTAGGGAAGGCGGGTTCCCTATCCTATCAATTTGCCTACTATTGACTGTCGCCATTCACACTTTTACATGCAATTAGAGGCTTTTCGTCATTGTTTGCCCACTGACCGACTCTGAGTCATCATTGTAGTGCCAGTGCACTACAACATCCCTCCGCGGTCGGAAATTTCTCGCCTTCGGTCGGAAAACTCTCGTCCTCTCTTGAACTCCCTCAAGTCCTATCCCGAGAAGCCTTCGCTACATCCTCCCTTTGCTTTCCGTACTCCTGGCTCTCCGTAATCCCGATCCTCTTTTCCCCAGTATTCGTGCCTCCTGAATCCGCCCCTGAGCTTCTCCATCGCTTGCTGACGTTTGGGGCCTATTTTGTGGTTTCGGGGTGTCATGAGGCGTAGGTGATGCGACTGCCGATGGGCAGCGTGCCACCTCTCCCCCTTCCTGGCGTAGAGGGGTGTGGTCGGGAGGCTGAGGAGGATCGACGCTGTCGCTGGCGGCGACAACACTCTGCTGGTCCCGCTGCGCGCCCCGTGTGCGTTTATAATAGCGGCGCCAGGCACGGAGGATGGACGGACAGTTGGTGAGGTGTTCTGCCGGTTCCCAAGTCGCGCGGTCCTCGGGAGCTCCGCGCCACTTGACGAGGTACTGTGTGTCCGAGCCCGAACCGCGCTGATTCAGGATGTAGTCGACTTCGTAGGAGTCAGTTGGGACGCCATCTGGACCTTGTACAGGCAGCCAGCCGACTGCGGCCTCCTTTGCTTGCATCATCGGATCCCTGGGGCGATCTGGTACAAGCTGCGACACATGGAAAACATTGTGACAAGAATAGGTGGGAGGGAGCGCAATACGATAGGCAACAGCACCAATGCGTTCCAGTACAAGAAAGGGACCTCGGAAGCGGGGCTCCAACTTGGGGCACTGGTTGAGGGGGGGTAGATGGTGGCTGCTGATCCAGACTTTGTCGCCAGTTGAGTAGCGGACGTCGCACCGGTGTGCGTCCGCATATTGCTTCTGCTGCCATTTGGCTTTCAGGATATGTCCTTGCGCTCTGTCGCATAACTGCTGGAAGATTTTTGTCATGGGAGGGGTGAGCGTCGGATCCAAGTTTCCCACAACATCTAAGTCTGCTGCTGTGATCGGGTTTTGCCCGATCATGATCTCAAACGGAGAGAGCTCCGTCGAAGAGTGGCTCGTCGTGTTGTAGGCGAGCTCTAATGCCGGTAAGAGACGCTCCCAGTCCCTCTCGTCGGTTTGTATATATGTTCGGAGCATCTGCTCCAGAGTGCGGTTTACCCTTACTGTTTGACCATCTGACTGCGGATGGTGGGAAGAGGACATCGCACGTTTTATGTGAAATCGTTGGTAGAGCTGCTGCCACAGTTGGGATTGGAAACGAGGGTCACGATCAGAAATGAGAACGTCTGGGAAGCCATGATAACGAATTAACCGATCCGCAAGAAGTTCGATTGGGTCTGCTGCTGTGGCTGTTTTTCTGGTAGGGATAAAATGGTCCATTTTACTGAGCGAATCGACGAGGACAAGGATACTGTCGTTGCCGCGCGGGGTGAGTGGTAAGTCCGTTATAAAA